AGAGAGAGAAATATAACTGAATGTAAATGAGTGGATTAAGCAAATACGTTTGAATTGTCTGAAGTATAATCAGTTTATAGTGGATGTGATCCGAACATACTGTTTAACTTGTGCTAGCTTTTGTTCAATAGAATAATGAAAATATATGAAGTTCGTTAATGAATCAAACTTCGCAGATCTGCTCCTTAGAATTTCAAATTTATTACGAATAATATTAAATTTCTAAACGAGAATCCTTTGGACACCAGTATTGTTAGTCAACAGCCTTAAATTGATGATCTTTCATAATCCGCTGTAAATATTTTCCATAATTACTATTGTCAATCTTTATTTCTTCTTTTATGTTTTTTGGAGGAAATATTGATTTTGGGTATCAAAAATATAAAAAATATTTCTAAATGTGTACGTTTAGTAATTCACCTTTTTTTATACTTGAAACTACTCGTTATATTACGAAATAAATCATAAAACCTATGTAGAGGGCAACTACCCTATATCGACCTACATAAGTCGACCCAATTTTCTCACTCACAGTCCTCTCGCTAATAAATATAATGTTAAAAACTTATCGACTGCCTATATTTGACATGCAAAGTGTACCCTTTCTCGTTGACACAGATATCAAGAAAGCGAACCAAAATGGGAAATATATCCGAATACACCACGTCTGTTGAAGCTGATCATTTTCTTTTAGCTTGTAAAATACTGGTTGCTGTCTGTTTTTTTAAAAAAGAAAATATAAACGTTAATTAAGCTACGCCTGCTATATTATTCGTATACACCAGTGTACATTTTTATTAATCTTAATGTGTAATCGTTTTTTATACATAATTAATTGTAGTTACTAAAATCAAGCTGAATAAGCCTGTGATAACGAGAAGGAGGGACTTAGAAAATTACCCTATGTTTATTTTTGATTTATTGCTAAATAATCATTATTATATTTACTATATTACTGTAACTAACTTCATAAATAATTGTTGCTTTAACGTTTAAGGACTTCTTGAGAAAAATATCTTTATGCTTTAGTATTATTCAAGGATAAGTCCTGGCAATATTTATTCTCGTTCCATTTCATTAATTATAAATGTATTATCATTATAAATATTAAACGTGTAAATACCTTGAACTGTAATATATCATCCTTGTACACGCGTTGCTAAGTAAAGCAGAGTAGATTGTGTTTAAGACGACACAGTTAAAGAGATAAGAGAAACGAGGGTGATCAATAGAGGTAGAAGGGTAGATGAGTAGACAGAGAAGGGTGTGAGTAGAGAGAGAAGAGTATTCACTCTGCCCTACTGACCCTATCTCTAAAACAATCTATCCTGTTCTACCTATTAAATATTCACTAAAAAACGAATTAATACAACGAAACAAATCTATTCACCTATAATTTAATATTATAGATTATTTTAATATATATAAAATATTAATATCAAGTCCCATCCCTATTTTATTTTTCCCACTTAATCCATCCTATAATATTAAATTGACTCAAATCTAAAAATTCAATTTCATGAAAAAATATACCTACAAGTAAATTTTAACATTTTCTATTGATGATAATAAAGAAATAAAACCTTTATTTTTGAACATAAGATTTTTTGAATAGTTCAAGGGGAGGGCGAGGGTTGAATTACAATAACAAGAAACACAATCCAAAAATAACTTTACGTTTTTTATTAAATTGACCTGTACACTGTGGGAGAGTCAGATCGTAAATTAGAATCATTCGAGGAATCAGTTTTTGCAGGAGTTATAACTATGTATTCAACGAATTCTTGTAATCGAGCCTGCCTCTGTAATACGACTCGAAACATGACGTGCGATCCATGAAGATCGCGGAAACTGGTCACAGGGATTCGCGCAGTTTCGCGTTGCACCCCCGCGCGTGTGTGCGCGTTTTCCACAGGGCCGTGGGACGCTCACCTATTAATAGAGGAACGCCGCTCGAATTACTGAAACTGATAAAGCGAGTAGAGAAGTGGCCGGTAATTCAATTCCGCTTGACGAACCGCGACCCGGTGCTCGGCCTACCGATTCCATCTCCCTTCGACGCCGGTTTTTTCACGATTATGCAACGCGACCTAGAATTAATTGCTTCCGAGGAAGTAGGGTGCGGCGAAACGGATACCCGGTTCCCGTGGCTACGGGCATTACGCTCTATTTGTTTACATTATCGTAGCCGAGAGTTCAACCCCTTGCTGTGTGACGTAGAATTAGACTAGTGATAAAGGTTTCAAACTACTTAGTAAACTTACAGCAAAATTATTATTATACTACTTTTATATTATACAGTAAAATCATTTTTCTTTTTTCGGCGGAAATTAAATATTATATTCCTGTTATCGACATTTTAAATAATAATTAATGTACAATGAAGAATATAAATAGAAGTATAAGACTACTAGCTTGCTAAATTTCGTGTAATAATTTCTAGATTCTGTTATGGCTAACCCTAGGAAGACCAATTTTGAAAAATAAACTTAAAATCATATTTTGGTACAGTTTTTGAAGATATAAAGAATAATAAATAAGTTTTTTTATGTATGAAAGAAAGAAATTCGTAATATTTCATAACTGATGTTTTTGAGAAACCACCCCCCCTCCACTTTCTAAGATTGCCAAAGTCTAATTTCTTCAATATAATGCTTGTTTAAGGATAAGGAAATTATGTTTCATTTTATTTTTGCATGTTTGTATAAAAAACATTTTTCTTGGAAGGTAGTCGAAGCAAGTACGCCATGGTCGCTATAATAAACATTTATTCTCGATAATATAAAATTACATGTTGTAATAACACGAGACCGTATCATACAATATTTCACAATAGGTAAGTAAATTCGACGCGGTATCGAACGACGATGAGTATCATCTATCGCGGGGGAGACACTTCCGATGTCGTCGGTACGTGACGCGTCAATTTTTTCGAGCGAAAAGACAAAAAGAAGAAATCATATCTTGGTATACAGCTACATTTAGTCACTGCGTTTTACGTAATAGTCAACTAGACGTCTGAACAATCTTCGTAGGGAAAGAGAACGATCGTTCGATTCGATTCAGAGGAATCTACTAATTGCCAAGCGTTCGAAGAGATGCTTTGAGTAGAACAAATAGTGTAGCAAGATGGACGAAAAAAAAGGAAGATGGGTAGAAATGGTTTTTGTAATTATAGCTGTCACGCATCAGGGACCTCTTATAAATACCACGGGATAACTATCATACAAAAATATACAGTGAACTCTTGCCGACATTACCCTAAATCGTTTTCAATGGACAACCGATATGGCTGTCTTGTGATTCGTCGCTCCATTGATTCCCTATTGTTATGCTAATTACATAAATACACGTTTATTTACAAGTTCTCTGTACGTTCTACTGTTAGTCGATGAAAACAAATCGGTGTGTTACATTGAAATTACGATGCTCCGCGATCGATTACAGTGCATGGAAGGAACAGTGACGGAAACGGAGAGCCGTTCCTCTTGTTCCTTCCAACCGTCAGAGTTTTATTTACAGAAAGAATAGTTGGTGTCGTGGTCACGCGGATACCGGTAGTTAAACGGTCAACTATAACTTATAAAATATAGCTTGAAAGTGCTATATTCAAGTTAGTCAGCGTAGTCCTACTTCCGGGTCTCACACGCAACTGAACTTGACACCTGGAACAGGTAGATGACGTCTACATTAATGCTATTAAAGAGAAAAAGAAAATATTATTAAAGGAATTTTAATGATTAAAAGTTTATTTTATTAAAAATCACAATGAAGTTTATTAAATAATTTATTAATAATTTGTCGTGCTAGTAATTATTGATTTAGTGATAACTGAATGACAAACACTGTAAAAGATTCACGAGTTATTTCGATTATTTCAATTTATTGTGAGTTCAAGGTTTAATTACAATTTTTATATTTTTATTTATAAACAGTACGTATGAAACGTATTGTTAATGTATCAGTTAAAACAAACTTGAGATTATTTTGACTTTTAATGAACTTCCTACGTGTTTCGTTAAATGATTTTATTTTCGAGCATTTTCGTTGAAAACTTTCAGTCTTTATTTGACTTCGATTTTAGATATTAATAGTAAGCTAAATGTAGGTACCGTCGTCACTGGAGTAGCAGTTATGGCAGTGGAGCTTGTGATTTCGAACGCGCACGTCTGTTCCCATTAATCCGTCACCAAGCCGCACATGACATACACAACACTTGAAACACTCCATATGGTAGAACAGCCGTAAACTTTCGATGATCATAGCTGCGCCCCGACCTGACAACATAAAAGCACAATGCAAACATAGTAAAACATTAATAAATCCATCGGTAACTAAGCACCTCTTCAAGAAAACTTTTCACCAAATTTAAATGGTATGAACATGATTCTTTAATAACTTTGTACCGTACCCAATTCATCCCCACAATGCGAACACTTTTTCTTCCCACTAACGCTCAACATTTTCTCTTGATTCTCGGGATTCATAGGCGGTGCTTGTGGAGGTTTCTGTTGTTGCAGAACATGCTGTGGAGATTGATGTTGCAACGCAGTGAGGTGCTCGTGACTGGTGCTGTGTTCTAGTCTGAAAGCAAATCAAAAGAAATCATTAAATATATTAAATGAGACTCAAATTTCATAAGATACAAAAGCAGATATAATTCTATAAGAATAATATTATGAATGATTATGTCTAATTTCAAATAGAATTTTATTGTACTATACAATAACAATATTTGAATCTATTCAACGATTTAAATTATACGTTAAATACATGGAAGTTACAGTATATGTTAAGAAATTAAGAATTTATAACAATTTCTAAAACAAAAATTAGAAATTTATATTATATTGCAAATGAAATTTTCCGTTATTCACCTTCTTCTTGGTGGGAGAGGCTTTTCTTGCGCTCTGTTCTGTACTCTCTGAGTAAGAGTTTGTATAATGGAGTCCGGTAATGGTTTACTGTCCGTTCTCGTCGGTGCCATAGCATACGGAACGGACGTTCCTGTTACGTGCATCTGAGATTTCCGCGCTGGTGATCGCTGATTTTTCTCGCTAATCCTTCTCTGTTCCGCTTCCTGCAACACGACATTACAGAATCTGCAATATACTTTATTATCTCCATTATTGGGTTGTAACATCTGAGTCTCTGCTCGCTCATACATATACTCTATTAACATACATGAATAAAACTACCATTTATTTCAAATTCTCCTTTGCAATATGTGTACTGTATTAGTCTTTCTTTCACATTAATGTGGAACTTGAAATTCTATTAGATTTACAGTTTTACATTTAACCGTGTAACGATTATCTTGTCAAAAAATTCATAACACAATTTTATAAAATATTAGAATATTTATATTTCAGTATACAAACCACGATAAATAATTAAAGTCATGAATATTTAACGATATTTTCACGCCATTCTCCTTTAATTAACACGTTGAATGCCGCAAGATTTCACGTAGCAAGATACATAAAATGAAAAGAATATAATATCAAATTATTTCATTGAATCGTTTTATTATTATTGCACATTTATCTTGCCGAATGTCAGCGCATTAGACGGCATTATTTATAATGTAAGAACGTTTGCAAGTAATCATCGTTTAACCGACTGAATTATAGTAATTCAATTTGGTCGGGGATCACCGGTGACTCTCATAGCGTTCAACGTGTTAATAAATTTTGTAGCCAACATAAATTTAGCCGTCTACAACTTTTACTGTTAAAAATTGATCAAAGACGTGGATTTGCATAAAAATTCGCAATTTTCATGCAAGACTCACCTGGATGAGCCAATGTTGGTAATTCAAATCGTGGGCACCTCGCGGCACGTCGCTCTTCCTTCGTTGGACCCACTGGTCACTTTGAACGATTCGTGGCCGAGGAACCGCGCTAAGTGCTTGCAACGTTTGCCTACTCATCTGTTGACCAGCGTGGCTCGAAAGGGTTGTGACCGATGCACTGTGTCGCAGGGGCGCGTCCACTTGTTGCGGAATCGAATCCGCGGATGGTATCCTGCTGTTCCTGTTCATGCCCGCAAATCATCAGTCCATTAATCATTGTTATTAACCAAATGCTCTTGCTGTCGCCATTAAAATTCCTTCGATAGAACGATAATTAAATTACAGTGAAATGATCTACAATGCGCATGTTTAATCACTTGAAAATTAGAGTGTTACAGTAAGAAATACACGGTAAGAATGATGAAATGGTAACTGAAGACCACAGTACCGAAACAACGCGTCGCCCAGATAGAAAATGTTACACCAAGCGCAGCAAAGCGGAAAGTTACAGCAGGAAATTAAGCGTCACGATCAATGATGGCACGTATGTTCAGATTCTAATTTGCATTTCCTGTTGGGGATCGATTGTTTAAGCGTTGACATAACCGTGTCCTGTTAACATTGGTAGAAGAGCATTGAAGCTGCCGCACGGACGAGATGCGAAACATTCGTTTTTAAAATGCAACGATTTCATGGGGTTATTATATTGGTGAGAATGAAGTAACAATGGTTACATGGATTTCTTATCTTGGCATTTAAATTAATCCCTTGACCTACAATATCGTGTCAGACTCGCGATGAAAATTTTAAGCTGAATTTGAGCAATCTAAGTGTTATTTATTTTCTTTAAATATAAATGAAATATTACTTCAAAATTCTTTCTTTTTCTGATAAATTATTAATGATAAAGTAGTATATAGATTATAGTTGAGAAATAAATCATAGGCAAAGGGATTAACTAGGAATAGGTAATATCATTATCTAGTCGATAGTTTTGTATCATAAATTAAAGGTAGGAAATTAATTAATTATACTATGTTCATTATTTATAGCCATTTCAATTATAAAATAAAATAATATTTGTATGTGTATGACTAATATGTTTTAATTTCAAATTCTACATATATTTTTATGTAATTATTAATTTATATAAGATTACAAATTTTTAATTACGTTAAAAGAGAACACAAAATTGTCTATCGATAGAATTATAATTAGCAAGAATATTGGATGATTATTGAGCAACGTGATTACCTAATGGTGACATCTCTTTGTCTGTGTTCCACCAAACGCAATGGTTTCGCTGGTGGTATCGGTGGTGGCGGCGGTCTTCTTCTTTGCACATCTTGTAGCTGAAGATTCGGCATCGATGACCTATAATTCACCGGTGGCTGATTCTTGTATTGCTGGATATTATTTGCGGAACTGTGCGCAACGTCCTGCAACGATTTCCATTGTTCCTGCAATTGCTCGGCCAGTTTCAGTTGCTTCTGTTCACGGTACGCCAGATTATTGCGTTGGCGTTTCAATTCTTCCTGCTCCAATTGAAGCAACTCTCTTTCCACTCTGAGCACTTCCTGCTCAAATAGTAGTACATTCATTATTTTGCATTCTTTCTGCCCAATGAGAAAGTATAATTTTTCAATTATTTTATAATATATAATAATAATGATAATAATAATTATGTACACTTCATGGTGTATCTTCAATAAGTCGCAAAGAAAAACTTGATTCAAATTTCAAGGTTTCGATTTTCAAATTGATAGCTGCTTTTGTTAGAAGCAAGCGTTGAACAATGTAACAAAAACGATGTTTAAAATGATGTTCCCTTACCCCAGAAGCAAACTCGTCTTCTTCATCGTTCAACCCAGCACCAACCAATGTCGTGTTCTGCGAATAATTATCAACGATTCGCCCGTTAACGGTTTACTGTGCAACAAATCTCATTTACAGCATGCAGATCAGAATGCCTGTTAGCGTGACTAAAATTACATGCAAGCTTCTCTGAGATAAAAACTCCTAATTCGATTGCAAACGTTGGTGTACTTCTAACTCGTAATCATATGTTTAGGTCGCATGAATTAATAGGTATTCTATTTTCTTGTTTTGCATTATATCGTTAGTTAAATGTCTACAAATTAAATCATCAATTTAAGTAAATGATTCTAAGCATTCAATTAATTAATACTGATTAAATGGCTACTGATTAACAGAAAAGGAAAGGAAGCTATGGAATATAATTTATTTTAGTATGGAAGTTTCTTTTCAAAGATGAAGCTACGTATAAAATTATGATTGAAAAAATAGGGTTAAATACAGGCAATTGGAACAGTTATAATTATGATTGCGGTCATGGAAAAAGGATGTCCGAAATTGTATCCATTTGTGGAGATAAAGTCTCTCGTGGAACATTTTACACAAACGTTTGGACTTCCTATGATTAGAGTTAGAATTGTCTAAACATAATTTCAAAATTATGGCCTGCAAGAGATATTTTAATTTTACTTGGCTTCCTGATCGGATCTTCACTACATGATTGTCTTAATTTACTTTTGCTACCTTCTCTATTATACGCAGTATAATGAATACACAGATGTAAAAATACCTTCTTACTATCATTACTATTGCTTAAATAAATATTACAATACATTACAACAAAGAATACAGATTTATAGAAAAAAAATATACAAACAAAGAAACACACATTACACAAAGGTGGATTTTTCAACACCATGCATTTTTTCCTTAGACAATTTTCTAATGTTTACTTGGAAAACAGTTTTCTCTCGAACCATTCAATTCTTAAGCTGATTTACACAACGTATAATGTGAGCAGGTGAATAAGTGGACTAAACAAACTTTGTGCAACACTGTACACTTAGTGTACTATAATCTTTTCGTTCACGTACAGTATTCTCTCATTATGTATTATAAACTACAATTTTGATTCTGAATTAGAAAAAATTCGAATTTTTTATATATTCCTAGTTTAACCATAGTCTGATTAAATGAATCTAGAATTACGTAGGTATAAGAAGTCACGTGATCTCTTTATACCGGAATACGTTGTGCTATTGGTGTGTAGTAACAAATCTGCAATAAAACTCTTACTAATTGCAGATTCGCTTAGTTAGCTCAGGAGGAAACAAAAAAGTCTGCTAGCTTATTTAGGAACAAGTGCTAACTATTTTTACTAGACTCTTATGTACATTTATATTCTTATCTACATTGATTCATTTAGATTTATCACTGAGCTAAATCATAAACGTCAATTAATTTGACGTATTAAGAGAGAATACCGCACATCTAAACCAATCACAGCCACAAGCAACCAAAAAGCAAGATCGAACATACCTCTTGCTCGCGGATCTGACTCTCCATAGCCCTGATGCGTTTCTCTTCTTTGCGTCGAGCATCCGCGGCCCTTCTCTCCTCTTCGATCTCATTTTGGATCCTCAACTGTTCCGCCTGCGCCCTCAACTCCTCTTCCTGCCTCTTCTCTTCGGCTCGCTTCGCCTCGCTCTCGGCGCGCGCTGCTTCCTGCTGCCTCGCCGTTTCCTCTTGCTGTTTGCGCAACGCTTCCTCCTGTTTGCGTATGTTGTCCTCGTTCTTGCGCATGGTCTCTTCCTGTCGGCGGAGGACCGCTTCCTGGGCCCGTTCTCGCTCTAACTGCATCTTCTCCTCTTCGAGCTTGCGCAGCTTGTGTGCCAATTTCTCCCCCAAGTCACTGTTTCGTTATGAATTTCTCAATTACTCGAAATAACGGGCTTAATTGTCTCATTTGTTTATTTGATCGTTTGCTTGTTGTTTGTTTTTTGGTGTTTTGGTGTTTGTTTGATGATTGTTTAATATTTGTTTGTTTTTTGGTGTTTGTTTAATGATCGTTTTATGTTTGTTTAGTGTATGTGTGCTGTTTATTTATTTGTAAGTTCGTTTGTTGCTTGTTCATTTTCAATGATATGTACATAGGCTAGCATATGAATATAAATGGAGAAGTATGACCGAGACCAAAGGAGTAACGCAGTGAGTAGCGACAGTGATAGTAGAAGCGGTAGGAAAGGACCATCAGATTTTAAATAAAAGTGTTTTATTTTATTCATAACCGTTTTTGTACATTGATCCCGACATACAGATTCAACATAAAATTTTATATATACATACAAAACACGCTTAGAGATAGTAGATGTGTCGTTGAACCGAACGAAAGCGACGGTTCAGAAGACATATGAGTCTGAAAACTCTAATTATTGGAAACTGATTAGAGTTCTATGAAACATTTATAGAACAATCGGATCTTTCGATATTAACAGACTGCGGATTTTACGCACTAATTCACGCGACTGTCCAAAACTTAAAGAACTACACCGTATACTACAATTTAAAGAGCTTCCCGTTCTCCTAAAAATCTAACAAAACCCTTAACACAATAAATAAATTTGATTCCAATCTCCGTGAATTGGACCACAAAGATCTACATTTGCCTATACATCCGCAGTCTGGTTGTCGAAGCACAGACTCACAATCTTCCGAAAGCCGCTCGTTCGTCCGTGTAGCCGTGCTACGAAATCATAACAGAGAAACTTCGTCACCAGCTAGCCGAACTTAAAAAAGAAAGGAGAACACTCTAGCATGTGTTACTTCGGAAGGGTTGAAAGGTGTACACCACAGAAACGAGAAAAAAAAGTGAATTTAAATAACAAAAATTACCTGGATACCGCATAAATAAACAAAACCAGAAAGCCAAAGAGAACGAAATTCCGGGAGACGGATAATGTCGCATGTCGTGGTAATCCCCGAATAATTGAAGAAGAACTGTACAGCCGGTCCAAAGGATAAGCGAGATCGAACCGAATCGACAGATAAGGACTCTAAACCCTCGGCTCATCATTGAGACCGTCACGGTGAATTCCTACCTGTTCATCTCACAATTGTTCCCGTACCGCCACTGCTCCTCTTTCTCGAGGGCCTCGATGATCTCCCTTTCTTTCTTCGTGATCTCGTCCTCCTCGGACGAGGTCACGCTCGCGCCAAACGGCTCGCTGCTTTGACGACTGTGCTGGGACATGTCCGGACTAACCGGCTGCTTCGTCCAGTCCTCCGCGTGGCCCAACTCAACCCCGGAGTCTCTCTCGTGGCTGGAGTCTTGTTCGTAGTTGCTGTCGGTGTCGTACGAGCGACGATGCAGTTGTTCGATGCGCCTCTCCTCGGCAAGGATCGCCGCCATATCCGGTGGCTTCGTCAACGTCAGCTCGCGCTCCAGATCGTCGTCATTCACCTAAAAGTTGAGGATGATTCTTTGAAATTTGAAGTTAGGTTTGGTACTGGGATCTAAGAGCCTTCCGCCATTTTTATGCACAGCGACTCGAGAATTTTACAGTTAAGAAAATATATATTTAAACAATTTTATTTGTGTTACACTGAAATTGTAGAAAGTACTGCAATTTGTAATTTAGTGTTGTGGATAATGTAATTGATTATTACTTGATGGTTAAAGTTAGTGTTATTTATTTTCAATGTCCTCAGAAGAATATTTTATTTGGTTTTCGTTGTAACATTTCATATACTTAGTATCTTTAAATTGTTTTACTATTGACTTCTTATTGAAATGAAAAATTATTAGAATTTTGGTAAACACTTTGTCAAGTATACCTAAATTCAGATTTAAATTATTTTTGGTTTTAACAGAGTAAAAAATATATTATAATTCTTTGGGAGAAGAATCGGTGTGATTAAACTGTAAAAGGAATCCCTACTTTTCAAACTATGTTAATCAATGAACAAAGTTGCGAACTTCAATCTAACATTTCTACTTAATAATTACAATTGTATGTTGCGTAAATCTATTCATGTGCTCCAATTAACACCATTAAATGATGTTACATCGACGATACTATCTTTCGTAACGCTAAATATGGGTGTATTAACAGGCATGGGGCACATTAGCTTCCGGAAACAAGTGAAAGTTGTCGAAGTGGTGGAAACGCGTGAGAAGAAACGACAAGTGAAGAAACAAGTGAAAAAACGCAAGTGTAAAAGGTGTCGACTTTTACAGCGATAATCTCTGGACGTTCATTCTACGCAGAAATATATAACATTTTAAAAGCAGTTCTATATATTTTATATTCAATCTAATGTTCACATTTTAAATAAAATTAGTTTATTGAATAATCTCCATATTCTATATTCAATACTCATCAGAAACTTCGTATAACATATTTCACAACGTTTATGACTTCCATAACCTAAATATTTTAATCTAATCGACGAATACTCTGTTGAGTTGTTATAAAAGTTATAAACATTATTTTTCATAAACATGCTTAAAACTGTCATAATTGTTATAATTTTTTTAGAATAATCTAAGGTGTTTGATAAAAATTATGAAAATTTTATATGTTCGATTAAATAAATTATTTTATATAATAATTCGCTTCTTTATAATTATTAGGGAGTCGCATTGTGAGTTTAATAATGTAAGTATAAATTACATTTAATTTTTAATAGATGAAGTATTACTTACTCCTTCGATTCCAAGAAAATCCGAACGCCTCGTTCGCAATTCTTTCTTGATTCTGCGGGTGGAATTTAATCTCTTCAAAGGTTCTATTGGAAGACTCTCCTCGTCGCTGACATCTACGGGCGGTGGCGGTGGTTTCTCCTTCGGCGGTTCTACACTGGTAGGTGGTCCAAGAGGAAATGACAGACCAGTAACAATCTCTTCGTCGCTGGAGAGGTTCAGCGGCAAGATCTGTAACAAGACACCAATCAGAAGTTAAAATTGTAAAAAATTTCAGCAAATGAGAAAAATTAAATAAACTATTAACACATTGTTGACCAGCAATTTTACGCAGAAGATATACCATGTAACTGATTATTATTCCGTAATTAAATATGAAAGTGAAACAATCTAGATAAACTTCGATATACTTTATTTATACGTAATGAATTAAAATGAACCGTTGGGCATATCTTTTATACAATTTTGAATGTTTTGTTTTTGCGGTATTTTATATTATCCTGCGTTTCAAAAATTGAAATAGCTAATGCAAGTGCAAACACGAGTTAACTCGCAACC